TACCTATATTTCCTATCGTACTTGCAAATATAATGTGTCTAACAATCAAGAGCTTCTTGGGTTTGCGATAATCTCCCGCTATTTTCATGATCTTAATGTTTGATTTAGGGGTGATACTCTTTGAATAAATTATGGATCAGATGCTTGTCACTCTAAGAGGTAAAAAGACAGAAGAAAATGTTTCAGTTTCTAAACAGAGGAGCGCTACCAACCAAATAAGGCAACTCTTGGTTCAAATCGAAATTTGACTCAGAAAAAAATATGTATTACCCACAATACTATTAACCGTTACGATAGTTTATGGCATTTTCAGTCTGCAGTAGACGGTAACATGCCGTGGTGGGTGCGCTTGAACAGGTCCGGGTCCTTTTGCTATCCATATCCACTTGGCACCCTGGGCTATACCAGGAACTTTAGTAGGACGTGGCCGGTGAAATACTATCTCCTTGGCTGCTGGCCACATTCGGTCGTCAAAATCCGGTGTCATCCATTTGCATCCCGGATACGGATCGTCCATGCATTTCCAGCTTGAATTTGTTATCAGTCCGTTGCTAAGAGAGCCGAGAATCCCGCCACGTCTTATTTGTGACCTAGAAATCACTGAAAGAACACGTGTATTTCCTGAAATGACAAATTTTGTGGGGCTTCTTGGATCAGCATTGTTGTGCCTACCAATGGGTAAGCCATCAGCAAACAAATCCATGAGACCTTCGCATTGGAAACGAAGAGTAATATCTGCGACAAGTGACAAACAAAAGGAAAATAAACGGCCAAAGTCTACATCATTTGAAAGCTGACATGTTGGATTTGGCTGAAATAGCGAGGACGATGATGTGGTGAGTGGTAGAGCAAAGCCATGAAAATTAACACAGTGGCAAAAATAATTGTAGCATTCATTGTATCATTACGATCATTCGAAATGCCTGATAAAACTGCACAATTGGACAGTTTTAATGCCCACAAATTCATTTCAAGCGGTCTGGAAATCTGTACAAACTTGAAGTAACGGAAGACTGACTATGTTCCTTCAGGTAAATAAGCAACAATTTATGAGATAAGTGAAGTTAATCGGTTTATTGCAAGTTCGGAAGTGGTACAAACAAAGATGTTATCCGTCTCGAGCGTGAAACAAAGAAAAAAATCTGACCTCTTGCAGACTACTGTAGGAATGCTCTGACAGCTGCAGAGAAGTCTAAAGAGAGTTAGGCTATTGCCAGAGTCCAACGTTGCACATGTTGCAAACTGCTTGGATCAGCAAAGCAGTCTTAAAAAAGTAGCATAGTTGAGGAATTTCCTCTAACTCGGGGGGGATGATTTGAAGCCTTCTGTGGCACAATCCATCGAAGATACAACAACTCGAAGATACTAGCCTATCTTTTGCTACTCTAAACTCGAGGTAAAATTAAGTATATGTTTGTATATATGTATGTAACCCCCAATACCTCTTCTGATAGTTCCCCTATCCCCACATATACGCCTACTACGAACATGAAAATTGCATTGCCCTGATCTTCAACAGATATTCACCACCGTCCGTGCAAAATTGCATGCGTGAATACCAGTATGTATAATTTATGATTTATGTTCACAATAAGGCCTATAAGGATAAAATAGGATTTCTACCTCGCCAAATTGTTTTTGAAAGGTGCAGTTATGAAGGCAAACACCCCTGATGTAAATTGAATTCTATCTTTGCACAGAGTACGAGAGAACCCTGTCACATAAGAGATAATGACCAATCACTTACTTTCTTTCGGTCTCGTTGGTTTACCAGTAGCTCCTTTGTCAGCCGAGTCCTGCAAGCGAGTCATTTAATAGCCATAAATACATGGTGGAGTGACCAATATTTGTAACAATTTTAGTCCCTAGTTTAAGGTTTATGTTCCAAGAAGCATTAAAATTTGATGTATACAGAAGAGTTTGAAATTCAGCTTTAAATTAAGAAAGATGTACGGGGCAAGGGGTGATGACAAATTACATCTCGATTTTTCTCTTTTTTTATTGGTTTGTCTTCTTTTATAAGGATTATTAACCGGTATTCTATAGTTAAATAAAGTAAAGCAGGCAATGAAAAAAAAAAGATAAAAAAAACTAATTGATGTTGAAAAAACCCACCAAAAATAAAAACAAAAACGGATCTTTGAATGGATAGTTTAGGAAAAGTGACAAACTAAGGAATTATAAAACTGATGTATTTGAATATTCGAGGAAACGTTGAAGATTTCTTTAGTGTCGCAACCAAATGAAAGCTGTTTAATCAACTTGCATAAATCAGTCAAATTTGCAAGATCTAGTGAAAGAACTTTGATGTGTGAGATTCTATTACAAATGTGTTTCATTTTTGTCTTTTTCGATACCTACGAGAAAATTCTTTAAAATTGTAATTGGTACGGGAAGCACAAAAGGTAATCACAGTCATGAAACTATTACATGCACAAACTAATGAATGGGATAAGTTTCTAAGGAAACTGCGGTACTGTGCCGTGGGAGCTATTACAAGAAAATTTGAATTTCTCACCTGAATGGGTAATTTAAATTGGCCAGTGCAGAGAGACTCTAAAGCTACCGTCATCTTCTTGCACTTTTTACAATGGCCAACTCACATTATCGACTCAGTTGGTAAAACCAAATTAACATGTATAAATTAGGGTGATTTCTGTAGCATACTTATAAAAATGATTAAGTTCATGTAAGGTAAGCACTTTTTTGATTGCTCATGTAGGAATAGTGGAAACTATTTCAGTGCACACAGATTGATTCCGAATATGCCGGATTTCTGTATGAGCTTTACTGTCCTGTATTTTAGCTGATTTACGAAAATAAGATTAAAAACTACCCTTGAAGTGTAAGCTTATACCCCCGTTGCGAAGCAAGTGTTGATGTATTCGAGAATTAGTTATTGAGGACAGATTTTCTGACAGAACAAAGCTAACAGATAGCTAATTTGTTGTTTTTTACACAAGACTTTTTGAGCATAGTTCTTATTTGTTAGGCTTTGTAAACTCAGCAAAGCTGCAAAAGCAATGGTTAACCATGAAATATTTAAACAGCTTTTCTTCTTTCCAAACATTCCCTGATGTTTTTGTGAGGCTGTGGCTAAAACATGCGCCTCGCAATTTGATGAAAAGAGCTGTTGAACATATTTTGTAAGCATGAAAAACACAAAAAATGTAAGTTCAGTCGAGGATCCGAAACCAATTGGGCATTTCTGGTTTCGGTTTTCGGTTTATTTAGAAACTTACCCCTTCATTAATGAATTGTTATCCTTTCATACATTTTTAGATTACCTTTAAGAGCTTTGAGAAAGTGATTCCTGGCACAGCATAAAGTTTGCTCCCTGTGTCACTATCAAAATCCGATTTATTCAACTCACAGATCCCCTTGCCATCCAATGAAATCAACTTGAAGTTTATAGAGGTACACCATGATTGCTGCAAGCATGACAAACTGCATGATAACAAACTTTGAGACTCAAAACGTTGCATTACAAATCCCATAAGTCTCCTATTCTCTTGGGTCAAAAAGTACTCTGAACAATTAGTGCTACATCCTCCATCGGCCAAAGCCAAAGCGCTGAGATGGATGACAAACTGAAAAAACACAAGTATGATGATTCTTTTGAACCCCATTAGAAACAGAAACTGCCGCGAACTGAGAAGTTTAATAACTTCCTATATGTAGATCTTCAGCGATTTATAATCATTTAACTCAGGTACGAGGGGAAGTCCTTTCTGTATGTTTACCTAAATCTGATTGGTTCTTTGGTTCTGAATGATACTCTCTCGTTTGCAAGTCTAAAGCCCTCATCAAAATTTAATCAACAAGGTTTTTAAGTCTTGCTGAAGATTTCATCACAGGTCATCAAGGTACAGTAAAAACTGCTTGTTTTCCATAATGTGTTTGCATGAGGATTTTCCTGCTTGCAAATCAATTTTCAAAGATAAGAATACAATCAATAAATAAAGTAGCTTCATCTACCCAGACTATATCATAGTTTATATCCTATAATTCTGTCCGCTCTCAAAACCAATCAGATCTAGTCATTCGCTCCGACGAAGGGCTAACGCTCGAAACGTCAGCTTTTGTAATGGTTACCGTGGCCACTTTACCATTTCAACTTTGTTGATATATCCACATTAGATCTTGTCATGGGCCGAAAACCGCGTATCTCGGCCTGCATTGACACATGATAATTATGTGACAAAACTTGATGAACCTCCGTTATTTTTATCAGTTTTAAACAGATGAAGGAAAAAACGGATTATCCTCGTTTTGACATCCACATCACCGTCTTTGCATCTGAAAGAAAGCAGGTCATCCCGTTGAGGGCATTTTTGATAAACCAATCTCTGTCCTGCACAAGACTATCTAGGTAACAAGAAGTATAGTTTACAAGAAATGGGAAAAAACCTGCTTAATTCTCGATTTCAATTTCCCCTAGGCGCTCCTGCGTATAAGTGCTGTTATTGATATCAAACAAAAACTCTCCTGCCACCTGGTTTCCCAGGTTGCAATTGGGGGATGAAAGTATGGAAGCATTGTCTGTCGACTTAATGAGCCTTATCAAAATTGATTCTATGAAACTGTTCTCTCGTTGTGACGATTGTATTCCACGGTATCCATTCAGAATTAACGAAGATCCATTGAATTGTCTATATCTCTTGTAGGAATGAATTGGCGGAGTCAAAAGTCAATAATTGCAATCAACTAAAACCTGGGAACACTATACGATCGAGTGTCGTAAAACAATAGACACAAGAGTCTTGACAGCCAACAAGAAGAAAGGAAAATATCACATAAAGCATTGAAATAGAAATAAGCGCTTTTAAAGAAATTCTGCAAGATAAAATTTTTAGTTCCGAGGTTGGTTTAGAACCTGATTGATACTGTAATTTACGTAGAACAATTATAAAGGGCAAAGGAAAGCGAACGCTTCCTTTATTTGCAAAGGGGCAACTGTTATGAATCCCCTGTTACAAATGGTATGAAATATGAAACCTTAAGTAAATAGAGAAATGCTTTAAATCATTTGAAAGACAATGGTTGGTAAACATTTTCTTGGATCCTACACTGAACTGTCTCCGTGCCATTAAATTGCGGTAAAGTTAAGAGACGAAATGTCGTCTCGCTAATGAAAATTTTCTATATTAAAGCAAAGCTGAGTATAGCTGTTCTGCAGTTAAGTTATCACAAAGGCAATGAGCTGCGTCATTTAATTTCGCCTCTGGTGCTAAAAGGAGAACGCCTGCTTTCAGCTTGGACCAATCTTCAGTGCTATTGGTGTAGTTTCCACAGTTATTGGTCGTAGTAACCCACCTTTTATCGCAAGTATCACTTGAAGCGATAACACATCACGTATTTTTGGCAAGAACAGAAAAGAAATTCCTCAGAAACCTCTAAAAACTAACGATGAAGAGACATACGATCAATTCCTGTTCTGTTATTTATTGCGTGATTCTAGTGTGCTGGTTGCGGAATTGTANCTTCACGCTGGTTCACGATTCACGCTTACCAATCTGTAAGATTCACACGTCACGTATCACGTATCCTCTTAATCAGGCGTCACACTTGAACCCTTTGCCAGCCTCTTCTCAATTAGTTTCAAAATTCGACTCTGTTCTCTCATGCAATCAATCTATTATTTTCCCTCCCATGGGATGAGTCTACTGGTAATTGCGACACTAAATATCCTCCAATTATTTCTGGGGAATATCGGAGGGATTTTCGAAGATTATAACCAATAAGAGTTTCCTTTTACAATTCAACATGTCACGCACCGATACTTTTAACCCTGAGTTGTGTGGGTGAGTTTTTTTTCCTTCCGGCGACTAAATAATTTTCAAATATAGGTGTAAAACTCAATAACTACAACAGCCCTCATTTAGTCAGAAGATATGATCGTTTATGCGTTTATTTTTTCCTTTTCACTTCCTTGAAAAGAAATTGTATTGCAGGGCAGCCTTAAAACAAATTTCCGACAGAAATTTAAAAATGCTCCATATTAAAATCTTGACTATTTTCGCTGCTTCCCTGCTTTCATGTTATCGAGTCCCTCCCGCCAATGCAACTTGGAGACAGATGAGTTCTTGCTTGACAATATAAATAACGGCTTCAATAAATATATCTTATTAACCAAGTGCGCGGGCCGTACTGGGAGAATATCGGCCCAAGGTCTTGACAGTACAAAACAAAAAAGACCGAGGGCCGATATTTTTCCAGTACGGTCCCGAGCAAGCTTGGTTAATCAGAGATTTATTATACGACTGAAGTTCAAAGGGACACAAGTGCGGTATCATTCGGGACCATTCGGGACAGTGCCCGGTCCAATACTGAGAGAATATTGACCAGCAATAGAGCATTTTGATTGGTTGATTTTAGTTATTGGCCCTCTGACTGCCCGAGTCGTGTAATAAGACGTAATAGTACCTATAGTTAACAGGAATTGAAACAGCAGAATGAGTACTCATTGTTTACATATTTTATCTGTACTGCTGTAGTCTTGTAAATATTCCTTTAACATGACGTTTCCATTTATTTGGTGGAAAATCGTTTTAGCTGTGGGACCGCGACAAATTTATCTTAAAAATGTTTGCAACAAGATTACCTGCTCTTCTTTAGATGCAAAGGCGATGAAATCGATGTGAGAAGATCTGCCGAGAGCAGACAGAAATTTCTATCTTGTTTGTCAATCCCTGAGTGCTGGATTTTATATAAACAGTGGCCTCATAAGAGTGAATTTTTCGAATGGTGTGTACTTAGAATTTACAAAGATTCGCGGAATAGCATTATGTACTTCTAGACCTTGTACAAATATATTGGCAGGGTAAAAGTCAACAATTGCTAAAAACAAATAAAACTTATAGCACTATTTAATCGAGCGTCGTAAAACAATAAACACCGCAGTCTTGACAGCCAACAAGAACAAAGGGAATATTTCATGAGACTCCTAATTAGATCTGCAAAAACTTGAAGAAATCGTTTAAGCATTCCGTTTTAACATGCAATATGATCTTTCTTAACGGCAAATTTGCTCTAGGGTGACAGTGCAGGTTTTAATAAGCAAATATTATGAAAAAAACACAGAATCGTTCCGGCCAAACGAAGGCTACTTTGTTCATCGATTTATTCATATATTTGAATATCGACTTGCAGCACGTTGGAAAAAAATTTCAGCGAACAATTAGACAGCCATAACGATCAGATCGCGTTGTGTTGAAATTTTAATGTCTTTTCATTTGGAAGAAAACTGCAAACGAAAACTCCGATCGTATATCTTTGAAAAGTACTCCGATATTCCGTAGAAATAATTGGAGTGACGCATCTAGACTAAGGGCGGTGGAGGGAAATTACATGGTAGGTTTTTACTAGAATTGAAAATCAGCTTTTGGAACCAAAGTATGGCTAGAAAATCAAGATTTTAAGAGTGTGTCTCTGTAAAAGCGGTCCGGTCAATTTTGCTTGAGACACAGATTTCCCTCATTTCTTGTGTGTTGTAAGACATTCATGTGCCTATACCAAAACCACAATCCGTTTGATTGGATTTCTATTTTTAAAAGTTTTACGGAAATGGAATTTCACTCGAGCTAAGGCCTGCCGTGACACTTTTCAAGACTTTAATTTGAGACAACTTTGGAGGACAATTTAAAAAAAACTACGGAACCCAGGAAAAAACAAATACCACAGCCATGTATATTAATTCTATCTTATCCATCGAGGTGACTTTCGTGAACATCACATTTCAATCAAGGAAACAGGAAGACTTAAGTCACACACGCGAAAACCGATCAAATTCAAGGTAAATTTTTGAAAAAGTGAGGCGTTCTTAACTGATCCAACTAACATAGTTAGGAAGTAGATGCCATAGAAAAGGTAACTACAGAAAAAAACTTTGCGGCCCGACCTTTACGAAAGCTTTATAACTCCACGAACTTACCTAATTTTCGGCAATCTCCAAGTTTGGCC